AATATTAATTATTAAAAATAAAAAAATGATTTTTCAAGATTTTATATAAATGTAATATATAAAATTTGTATATAAATGAATCTTTTTTCAATAAAAAATATATAAATTAATCACAACTATAGATAATAAATTAATGTGTATATATATATTTATTACATCTAAAGTTAGCTATTTGGAATAATAAAAATCTCAACCCTTAATTTTGACTTACAATTAAGAATTTTATATTTGTGTAATATAGACCAAGCAGGATATCATGGAAAACACATCAATCATTTAATTAAACTAAATTACATACATCAGAATTTGATCATCAAACATCGAAGCTTTAGGGTGATTGGCCTTTACCACGGCTCCCTGATGTGTTATTGGCTTTATTCACGTCAAAGTCACAGTACATAAATAATTATTCTGAGCAAAATGCCAAAAAAGTAAAAGAGTAAAATGCCAACCGGTCCTGTGACTCAATTGATTGGCCTCCAAGTTTTAGGGCTTGGGTGAGGCGGAGGTCAGGTCTTCGAACTCTGCCACCGCCGTGAACTCCACCAACTTGCGACCTAATGGTCGCGCACCTCAAATAAGGGGGTGGAACGTTTACTTTTCTGAAAAAATTCCAGCTACTAACAAACTAACTCTACTAACTTCTTAACCATCTACCTGATCAAAAAAAAAAAAAAGAAGGTAAAAAAGTAAAATATTTTTCAAACGAAAGAGTAAAAAAGGCTAATTATTAGATTTATTTTGGTCCAAACCAATTAGATTCATTTTCTTAGGCGTAGAAATTGAATTGAAATGTGGATTATGGACCAGTGGGGACGAAAATCTGTTTGTGGTAAAAATGGTCTAATACAAGACATCAGACTTTGGATTTGATTCCATGATTGTCAAATGAGGAGTTGATCCAAATTAGTACTCTGTTGACTTTGATCCATGGAAGGGTGGGAGACCAATAATTACTCCATTTACAATTTTATGGGCACGAGGGCAAAATGTTGGCTCAGGAAAGAGAACTGGTTCGTCTTGGTCCTGTAGCGTTTGTAGTGTCTGTTACGGCAGGGGAACACGTCCTCCCCCACAAAAGACTACAAAGCACGCCCTACAACAATCATGACTCACCACACCACTCCAATTTATGCGTGTGGTTGTCCTCAATTTGGAGTTTGCACCACGCACCATTTTTAATATTTGTCTTTAAAATATCGATTTACATTAATTTATTATTAAAAATAATTATAATTGTAATTATTAATTAAAATCATTAATATTTATTAATTAATAAATTAAAATCAATTAATGAGTTAGAATATTCAAATACCATACTTAAAGATAAAAAATATTTTTATATGACCATAACACTTTTTTTGATAGGGCAATATCTACACCTACACCCGTCTTCATCTTATACCCTGAGCAGCTCTCTTTTTGGATGGAATATACCCTGAACTGCTCTCTATTTGTAAATTGCATATTGGACATTCGTTTTCAATCAGCAAACAACCACTTATAAAAAAAAATCAGCAAACAACCATTCAGATTCAAAGTCCTCAACGGTATTGGCTCTTCCACTTTTATGAAACTTTAGACAACCCACTAGGAAGAGCCAACACGTTACAATTCCTAGCTATCATTAGAGTTGTACATCCATTTTGCGGTAACAGAATGTGTCGGGCGTAATGGTGCATGCGCAACATTCGCAAATATCAGCATGACTATATCCACAGTGATTTGTTGATAGACATTTATTAATAATAAATTTCTACAATAATTATATAGTATTAAATAAATATATATTAATTTAATTCATATGTTTTACTTGTTAGAAAGAAAATCATCAATAAAAACATAACATAAATCATCAATAAAAATCATACAATGTTATGTCGTAAGTAATTGTTGTTAATAAATATTCTCAACGAATCATTTTTATAACCCTTTTAATAGCTTTTGTAGCAGGAACTAATCTTATCACTATAGTAAGCATCCATCCAGCTTGGCCTATCCAAAGTTATAGTCCACATGATAATTATTATTACAATCCTGAAACATCCAAAGTGACTACTTTATTAGTGGGAATGGTGTGAGCATAGCGTTTAGGTAAAAAACTCATGGTAACGGAACAAATAGATGTCTAGTGATTGTTTTTCACTTAGGGCCTGTTTGATTAGAGATAATTTTATTAGAAAAGTAATATTTAGTAAGTTGATAAGTGAAGTTTTATTGAATTATTAATTTTTTTATATTGAGTAAACTATTAATATTGAAAAAGTTATGTAGTAAGTTTTACAATAAAAAAAAGTTGAGTAAAAGTTTTTACTTTTAAAAAATATGAGAAGAAAAGATTATTTATTATAAATTGTGTTAAAAAATAAAAATTAAAAATAACTTTGCCCTCTCATTTTTTTGTACATTGAAGGATTAATTAATTAGTATAGAAGAGATCTGAATGTTGATCTTAATCTCAAATTAAGATTTTTTTATAAATAAATATGAATTCAATTAAGTTTTTATTCATTTAACTTTACCTTTTATTTATTAAATATTGAAGTATAAAAATTCTAAAATACTATCGAAACTTTCTTGAACAAAGGGAAAAAGTTATTTTCTATGCCAAACACGACTTAATGTTAAGAGTCCTGCATTGTTCAAATCAAATCATTCTCACTAAGATGCTTCTTTGTCCGATAGCGTCTCCAGGAACCCTGTATATATTACATATGCAATGCAACTTGTAAAGCATAAACCAGAAGACCTTTGCATTTCCATTTCCTAACCAGAGAAGGTTAAAGATGTCAGGTATATCAAAGAAAGAGCTCCTCCTAGTTGCACAAAACTATTATGGTACCATCCTGGTTGCACTGATTGCCATTGGATTAACATATTTTCTATCAAAAGCTTGGACAAGGGTCTCCCCCCGCAAAGCTCACAACATCCCTGGTCGGCTGGGATTACCTTTCCTAGGTGAAACCATGTCCTTATTGTCAGCTACTGACAGCACAAAAGGATGCTATGAGTTCGTTAGACTCCGGCGACTATGGTTAGTGATTCTTTTCCACTTGGTACCAATATTAGCTCCTATGGCTTCCTAGTGCATACTGCATAGAATATCCCTATCATACCAAAATCTTGAACATGGTTATAGGATCTAAAACCCCTAAATATTTCTTTCCTTTTATGACGCTATACTTTCTCAGGCTGCAGTGGCTAGAATTTTACCTCCCTAGACCAACAAAACACACTTCAATTTAACCTCTATTCCTGTTTTGAATCTGAATTTTTCATCCCACTTTTTTTTGACAAAAAGATTTTTCATACCATCAGGTGATGCTACCAATTATCTAATCAGAATTTGATACTGACTACTGTATTAATATATGACATGGTTGAATCTTTTTCCCCTGGCCTATACTGATGACTCTGATTTAAAGCAGGCATGGGAAGTGGTTCAAGACAAGGATATTTGGGCAGATCCACGTGTTTGTTCCAAGCGCTGAGGCTGCACGGACAATTTTTACTAGTGAATTTGTTAAATTCAACAGGGGATTTGTCAAATCCATGGCAGATGCAGCTGGGGAGAAGAGCTTATTTAATGCACCGCAGGAGACCCACAAAAGGATTAGGCGTCTCCTGTCTGATCCTTTTTCCATGAATTCTTTATCCAAGTTTCTTAAAAAATTCGACAAGATGCTATGTCAAAGGCTTAACGAATTAGAAGAAGCTGGGAAAAGTTTTAAGATGCTTGACTTCACCATGAAGGTATAAAAGTTATTTCTCAAACCTGAATCTACGTTCAAATTATGATGTCACTGACGATGATTTGATCTAAGCAACAATGTAAAAGAGTAGGAATCTAGAGCAAGGAAAAAGTAAACTACATAGAGTCCAGTAACTAACCTCTCTGAAAATGCTTTCTAATAGATGACCTTCGATGCAATGTGCGACATGCTGATAAGTGTTACGGAGGATTCCTTGCTAAGGCAGATTGAAAATGACTGCACAGATGTTTCCAATGGCATGTTATCCTTTCCAGTGATGATTCCTGGCACCAGATACTACAACGCCATCAGGGTAAGACAACCACCCCAAAGAGGGATTATTACAAGGAAAAGTGCAAGAAATTAGATATCCAATATTGCTCACTCATGAAACAGAACAATCTGCCTACTTTTAAATTGAATATTTTCTGTCAACAAGTAAGCAGCCTGTTTATGCAAATAGAAATATTTATAACAAAAGGAATTGGTTTATGAAGGCACGGAAAAGGCTGATGGAAACCTTGAGAGAGCTGATTGCACAAAGGCGGAATGGAATGGAGTCACCTCAAGACTTTCTGCAATCAATGCTGCAAAGAGATTCATACCCACCAGATGAAAAGCTCGATGATTCAGAGATAATGGACAACCTGGTGGTCTTGCTAATGGCGGGGCAGACCACCACTTCAGCAGCCATGATGTGGAGCGTCAAGTTCCTGGATGACAACAGAGAAGCGCAAGACAAGCTCAGGGTGAGGCTTTGATACACACAATACATATGGTGTAGGGATAGGAAGGAAAACAACAAATTATTACATGAACATCCAATCAAATGACTAGAATCATCAGCCAGCAAATTTCCATATGAGAAACTTAAAACACAAGTGTAGGATAAGCTGAAAGCAACTTGAAATTCTTAAACAGCCTAAATGAAAGGAAAAAAAAAAAAAAAGTACTTACCTTTTCACCTAAGCGACTTTATGTTGTTCCAACTTCCAACTCCAGTTAGAAGCAAGACTCAATAGATACGAAAAAACATTTGTTAGTATCTATGTAGGGTTTATAATATATTTTGTTTTCCCCTTCAAAATATAAATTGCTAGAGAATATTAAAATTTTCAAAGTTTTAAGGTTTTCTTCTGAAAGTATTTAATTCTCTTTAAAAATTATCAATAGATTCAAGTTTCTCAAATACACTGCTAACAGAATCATTAAAATTCTCAAAGGAGTATAATTATCAGAGTTGGAAAACTTATGACAAAGTTTTTTCTGATGTCTAGGAGGTTTCTTCTCTGTCTCTCTTGTTCACAGGAATATGTTTTTTTCCAGCTGAGTCTTGTTTTTGTACTTACTGATCTTAAAAAGGAGGAAATGACTAAACACTTCTACAAATTTGCAGGAGGAACAAATTTCAATAGCCAGAAATAAGCCAGAAGGAGCATCACTTACCCTTGAGGATCTGAACAGCATGCCCTATGCTTTAAAGGTTAAGTATAATCTATAGCAAAATCGTTTTTGCATAGAAGAAACCAGAACATACTCCATACACTATTTCCTTGCTTTTCCTTGTAAAAGGACATGTTGACACTCCCAATCATCATGGAAAAACAAAAGGATGTTTAGATTAACCTTGACATTTTACTTCTTGCACAATCCAGGTTATGAAAGAGACACTGAGAATGTCCAATGTCTTGTTGTGGTATCCTCGTGTCGCAGTTAATGACTGCACAATTGATGGCAAGTCTCAGAAGCTGCACAGAAAGTTCCTTCTTTTTTCCATTTTTTTTTTCTTTTTTTTAATTTTAAAATGCCTGTCATAATTAAACACGAATTTGTTTCCCATTTTACTTTCTCATGGAAGTTTCAGTTTTCCAAATTCAGGTTTTAAGATAAAGAAAGGATGGCATGTAAACATTGATGCAACTTGCATTCACTATGATCCAGATTTGTACGAGGATCCTAAGCAATTCAACCCCTCAAGATTCGATGTAATGAAATTATCATATGCCAAGCCATTGAATTATTCAGTATCAGGCGGCAGACTAACGACATATATTGTATCTGTGGTTCATATTTCATCTCTACAGGAAATGCAGAAGCCATACAGTTTCATACCTTTCGGGTCGGGACCAAGGACATGCTTAGGAATAAATATGGCAAGAGTGACGATGCTCGCCTTTTTTCACCGACTGACCAGTGGATACAAGTGAGTCATTGTTCTTTGTATCTGTTGAATCTAAAAAACTAAGCTGTAGATGAAATATTTCAAAAAAGAATCAATAAATTTCTTTCAAGAGCATCAAGGAATTAATAAGTTTTCCTTACTCAATGAGGAGCTTTAACTTCAATTTGCAACCATGATGCAGGTGGACAGTGGATGATTTAGATTCCTCCTTGGAAAAGAAAATGCTTGTGCCTCGACTCAGAAGTGGTTGTCCAATAACTTTGAAGGCCATCAACAAGAAGCTTGAATCTTCTGGGACAGAGGAGTTCGCTGTGCCTCCTGTGCTTCAGAGGCATGGATCAGAAAAGAGAAATGTGTAGGCAGTATGTTCCATAGAGGTTCTGCCAATGTTGCAAAAGCAGCAAAACCTGAACTGAGCTGCGTCTAGAATTATCTGTGTATCCATAAATAATGCTAGTTTCTAGCTTCCCAATAAATATTGACGCCACCTCATTTCAAGTAGAAAAGGTTTTATTCTTCATTTGCAACAACGAAGTCATAACAGAGGGTTACTTCCAAAAAGCACCTTCTTTTTCAGACTTAATAAAGCATGTCAAGATGAAAAAAGGGTAAAATCCAACTCAGTCTCTCCATCATTTGACATAAAATGTATACACCTCAGTTCTTATTGAATGTGTCAATATTAAATTATACAAAGGGATACAGCAACAAGATTGACTTATTTTTTCATTTAGAACATATAGTTGCAAAGAAGAAACAACTGGAAGAAGAGAAATCACCCACAAAGGAAAGCATCAGTGTTGATTAAGAACAGGCATTCACTCGATGGATATTGATTTGTACTGTCGAACATTGCTTGTTATGGCTTGTTCTACTGGCAGCCTCTCCATGCTTGATGCCCCATAGAACCCATGAACTCCCTTGGTTCTCTTCAATACGAATTCTGCCTCTTTAGGGCCAGATATTGGGCCTGCAAAATGCATGAGAATTTGGTCATTGATATTTAGGACCAAACAAGTCATATTTGCAAATTAAATTTATATTTATAATCTAAAAGACTATAATCTAAAAGCACGACTTACCTTTGGTAATGATAGACATATTATTACGGCATACACTTAACAAACTAATAATAAAAAACAGAACAAAAAGGAAAAAGAAAAGGGTGGCAGACTCTACCTCCATGACAGAGCACGATGATAATAGGATTGATCCTATGTGCAGCATCAGAAATAGCTTGAACACGAACTACACTTTCCTCAATTGAGAGAGCTGTTTTTGCACCAATAGATCCAGATGTAGTGAGGCCCATATGGGCCACTATGATATCAGCACCAGCTTTTGCCATTTCCACAGCTTCATTTTGGTTGAAAGCATATGGAGTCGTTAAGAAACCCATCTTATGTGCTTTTCCAATCATCTCAACCTCCAACCTGAGCAATAATAAAGATAAAGTCCACTTCATACAGCTTAAAGAATCAAGTATAAAAGCAATTGTGGATCAAATTAGTCATTTGTGGCTTACCCATATCCCATTCCTGTCTCTTCCAGATTTTGTCTAAAATTACCATCAAACAACCCAACAGTCGGAAAATTTTGCACCCCAGAGAATCCAATTGACTCCAACTGCTTAAGGAAGTAATCCATACGGCGAAAAGGATCTGTACCACAAACTCCAGCAAGAACTGCTACATCCTTCACCACCTGTACATTTTTGTAGCTTTCTTAGGATTGAAAAAAAATAATAATAATAAAAAGAGGAAAAGAAGAAGAAGAAGAAGAAGAAAGAACGACCTGGCCAAGTGATTTATCCCTCCTTTAGGAGGTATGGGTCCAAGAATTAGAATCCCACTGGCCAATCTTAAATTTAGCCAAGAATGGCAGTAAACAAATTAAGAAAATAGAATAACTTACTGGTAGCACTTCGTTGGCCATTTCAAGAACAACTGCATTTGCATCAGCAAAGGGCAATAAGCCTGCCAAGGAACCTCGTCCAGCCATTCGAAAGCGTCCTGAATTGTACAATACTATCAAATCAACACCACCAGCCTCCTCAAACTTTGCGGATATTCCAGTTCCTGCACCAGCTCCTATTATGGGCACTCCCTTAGCTATTTGATCCCTCAGCTTCTGTAAGATTCCCTGAGTTCTTTGCAAAGTCTCTGTTATAAATATTGTCAATGGTCAGGCATTTTTCTGCATTAACATTTTTACATGCTCAACAAAATAAAAGAAAGATGCACTTATTAGGGAAAAACCATTTTGTTTATTTCCACATAGCTGCCAATGATTGTGACAACAACAAGAACTGTGATTAAATTAATAGATTCATTGAGATTACTACAACCTGGCCTTGCATCAGGGAAGTCCCTTGGGCTAAAGGTAATGCTCTCACAGGTAACTGATTTAATATTGGAGGCATAATCCTTTTGAAGATCTAGGCTGGAATCAGTAGAAGCATTTTGGGAAGGACTAGATTCTGTATGATTCTTCATGCTGATCTTTAAGAATGAGTCAACCAATGCATCCGCAAACTCAGGGTCATTTAGATGGTAGGGATAGCTCTTTACCTATTAGTACACAGAATTTTCAATTTCACAAGATAAACTGGATTTATAAAATGCATAAAAGCTTGAAACTGAACACTGTAAAACAAATAAGGTTGAAGTTCAGGGGCACACCATTACATAAACAACAGTTGTACCTGTCTATCTTCATTTTCCTGAATAAGCCTCTGTAGTTCATTTAAAAGAACACTTGTAGCCTCAGGATCACAAAAGGGCTTGCCCTGTGCATCCAATGCTGAAACTCCCTTCTGTGGTAGGCAAACACAGATCTTGGATGATGACTTGTTCAGTTTATTTGCTATAAATTCAGCAAAATTCTTGTTCTCGTCTACTGTGGTCCGCATGAGTGATACCTATAGTGACCAACATTGATTTAGGGTAAAAATTCATCAGGCCACTTCAAGTATTGCATATTCTTCCCAGTTATTTTGAGGATCAAAATAGCTACCTCTTGTTCCAATTTGTACCAAGGTTCCAATACCAATCAACTCAAAAAACCAATTACAAATAAATAAATAAATAATCAGGTTTGATAGAATTTTCTCTAGCATCTTGTCTCTGAAGTCTGAATGTAAGCAGCAGTGAAGAATAAAAATAAAGGTTACACAGATTTATCACCTGGTCATTATGCACGTGAATTTTTCTCTGCTGAAAATTAGGAGGTACGGTATCTTTAGGTCCAAAGTTCACCATATCCAAGGCTCCCACACTGAGGACTAAAGGTATCTTCTTCTCTATGATAACATCAAAACGGGAACTGTCACAAGCCATTACACCTCCAACCACATAATCTGCAACCTCTGTAGTTGTGATGTCCAAAACTCCCTAAGTAACACACAAAAATTGAAAATTTGAACAAAAGAATAAAACAGAATAAAAGAAGCAGAGCATAAAATGTCAGATATCCAGTTATAGCAACATAGTCCATATTGAACCTTTTTGCAGACGCAAAAAATGTATGACCATTAGTGATCACGCAATAATCAGTATTTCCAAAATTAAAGGTTTCTTTAAATGGAATCTAAGAAGTAAGAAGAAAGAAAGTGCTTCTGTGCTTGAACATATATATTCTAGTTGAGTCCTTTCTAAAACAGATAAAGTGGAGGAAAAAGATACCTGTATATATCCCTCTTTAACAAGGGACTCCATAGCCTTGCCTCCTACTCCAGTAGCATGGAAAACCATGGTTTCATAACCTTCTTTCTGCAACCTTTCTTTGACAGCATTTACACATGGAGTTGTAACCCCAAACATGGTTAAACCAACAGTTCCTTTTTCGTAGCCAATACTAGAGCCCTGGAAGCTCCCAAGTTTTCCAATCACCATTCCAGAAAAAGCAAATCCGGCATTTGACAACACAACCCTGCTCACACTGTTAATCCCACAGATATCCACAACCGAAGGGAACAATACCAAATCCGATGTTCCAACATAAGGTTGAGTCTGTCCACTAGCTACAGTAGACACAATGAGCTTCGGAGTCCCAAGCGGAAGAGATCTGAAAGCAGATGATAGTAAAGAGGTGCCTCCACTGCCTCCAAGGCCAATTGCTCCAGCAAGAACGCAATCATCCTGAGCTTTTTTAAAAAAATTTTCAAGCGCTTTGCTCATAATCGCCACCGCTTCAGCTCTATCATCAGGAAGCACAGTCGGAGTTTGCTCCATCGATCCAGAATAGCATGAGTGAACTTCCTTTCTCGACACAAACGTAAAATCTCCCGAATACTCCGATTCCTTCTGACCTGTGGAAACATCAACTACCACAACTTCTACCTATTGTTGCCGCGCACAAATTAGGAATCCATAGCAATAGATATGAACATCAATATACACAGACCGCGGGAAGGAATTTACCTCTGTGGAGGAGTTGTTGGAGAAGGCGGAAAGAGATAATCGGACAGACTCCGAGAGGAATCGGAGCTCGTCGAGCTTAGTATCGGCGGTTCCGACGCAGAAAACTCTGGAATTCGCCATTGCCTTCGACTCAACGAGTGCTTGGATCTGACCTGAGGTCGGGTTTCAGTATGGTAAGGCAGAGAGCGACCCGATACCGTAGACGGTGGATTAATTTATAGCCCCTTCTCCCACAAGTGGCCGTTTTTTAAAAGCTCGCTCCAGAAGTATCGTTGACTCGGCGGGAATTCGTCTCCACATGCTATCACGTTGCGTCAGTAGTCTCGGATTTTCTAAAATACGCTCTTTTGTTACTCTACTTAAAAAATAAATAAAATAAAATAAAATATTTTAATCTCTATATTAATTTTTTTTTTTTAATCCAGTTTGAAACTCAGCCATTTTTTAATATTTTCATTAAATTTGGCCTTGACATGACAAGGTAACTAATGAAAAAATTTACGAGATAATTATTATTTTTTATTGTCAAATATATCTTTAAAAATTATTTAATTATGTAATTATTATTATAATTATTTTAAAAATTATTTTGTGATTGGAAGTACTTATTGTAATTATTTATTTGCCCCATCTTCTTCCCCTTATCCTCTCCTTCCTCCGGCTTTTATTTTTTATTTTTATTTTTTTACCTTGGCGAATTAGAGCTAAGTTCGTCGCAAACGCAGGCGCTGGGTGCGACGAACCCAGCTCTGATTTGCAAAGGTTAAAAAAAAAAA